TTTCTGAGGCCTTGGAGATGTTTTCTGAGACCTTCCGAGACCTCGGAACCTGACTTCCAGTACCACCGGAGTCGGGTTCCAATGTCTTGCAAGACCTCGGAAAGCATCTCTGAGCCTTCTGAGGTCTTGGAAGACCGACACCATCTCCAAGGCCTCACAAGGTCTCGAAACCTGACTTCCAGTACCACCAGAATTCAGGTTCCAAGACTGGGGGGTATGCATGACGTAACCCATAACCTGGGGCCCAGGTTGGCTCCCTGTGAGAGCCCGAGGTGTCAAAAGTCTCCTGAGATTTCCTTTGAACTTGCTGTAATATCTATAGCCTTAAACACCTAAGCTTTGCTAGTAATATCCAACCTGAAAAGTCTCTGATAAGCCTTCTTTAACAAGGGAGTTATTAAAGTTACTGGTTATAAGTTAAGACCCACATGTTCTCCACGTTCCTGTTTCTTCCTTGATTATATTAACCTCTTTGAACTGACATTCCTTTCTTGTCTCTTGAAGTTGCTCCTAAACTGTGAACTGTCTGAAGCCCAGATAATCACTCGCACGTCAGCATTTCCTAAACAATGTTTTTTCACTAACGCTCAAAACAGAAGATGACTTGACGTCATGTGTGACTTCCCAAGCTGTGACCATCAATATAATGGAAGCTTTGAAGCTCCAAAAATATTTCCAGTATGTGTTCTTCTTATCATGTTAGCAAGCAATATCAGGAAGACTAGCTTAAGGTTACCAGATTTTTTTTCAAAGAATCTGGGAACACTTTCCAACTTTCTACTAAATAGATGGATTTTGCCAGGGGACTGATTTGTAAATCTAGGGACTGTCCCCAGGAAATGGGGACATCTGATAACCTTAGGTCACTAGCTGAACCAATTTCCTTCCTCCTAAGCCCCTTACAGGCTTTTCTTGAGAGGAATAGAACAGGTGAACCGCAGATGAACAAATATCTAATCACTTTGACATATACTAATCCAAAAACACTCTTAGCTGAGTTCAGAGGTCTAAAAGTACAGTGGGTTTCTAGGTGAGCAGTTAGGTAAAGGTAAAGGGACCCCTGACCATTAGGTCCAGTCGTGACCAACTCTGGGGTTGCGGCGCTCATCTCGCTTTACTGGCCGAGGGAGCCGGCGTACAGCTTCTGGGTCATGTGGCCAGCATGACTAAGCCGCTTCTGGAGAACCAGAGCAGCGCACGGAAATGCCGTTTACCTTCCCGCCGGAGCGGTACCTATTTATCTACTTGCACTTTGACATGCTTTCAAACTGCTAGGTTGACAGGAGCAGGGACTGAGTAACGGGAGCTCACCCCGTTGCAGGGATTCGAACCGCCGACCTTCTGATCGGCAAGTCCTAGGCTCTGTGGTTTAACCCACAGCACCACCCATTTAGGTGAGAGGTTATATCGGGTCAAACAGAGTGAATAAATCTGTTCAAATCAAAATTATTTTGAAATCTTTAATTAAATTTTTTTAAAAGAAAAGTCAAAATGATTTAAACGCATTCTCACTTTCCTCCCTCTTACTATTACAAGATCATAGGCAACAATGCAAGAAGTCTGTTTAGACAGCAAGGATTTACAAGGATCATTTAAACTAAGTGAAATGAATGATGATGCATTAAGCACTGAAGACCAGAGACTTCTGTGATCACGATATCAATCTTTTCTCGATAACATCCAGGACCATAGTTCACTGAGCTGCTCCGTCAAAATGTAATTATTAGCTAACAATGGCAAGCTGTTCGATGTAGCCTGTAGTTCGTTTTCCTTCTGAAATTCAGGTATGTAAATTTCATCTAAGTTTGCCAAGCTTCCCTCCTCTTTTTTAAACGCAAACTGTAAGGCCAAAAGCAACAAGGATGTTAGAAAGAAAAATGTAAAGTTCAGGCAAGTTTGCTTCCCTGTTTTTCGGGGTTTTAAATTAGAATGGTAGATATTGACACAATATCAGGTAAGATAACAAATATCCCCTTTGTCAGACGTGCCATTTTCATGAAGCTCACAGCCGAACATGAATACCAATTTAATCCTATCTGATTTCTGTAACTGGAGGAGTGCTATAAGCCATATCTGCACAGTTAAAGCACTCCTATGCCACTTTTAAAAGGCATAGCCTTCCCCAAAGAATCATGGGAACTGTCATTTGTTAAGGGTGCAGAGAACTACAGCTCCCAGCATTCTTTGGGGGAAGCCATGGCTGTTAAAGTGATATATGAGTTTTTTTGGTATGGCAGATGCAACCATAAGACATGGATACAAAACAGCACATGGTTTGGCCAACTAACATCCCAGGTTTGATTCCTGGCACAAAGATAGACAGAAAAGGGGCGATGCTTCTTGGAGACTGTGCATATATCTGTTAGAATTCCTGCTCCGTGATTGCAGTCATGGGATTGTTGTCTATCACATGACGGTATATGTTTTGACTCCACAGAGTGGGATGTGACGGAGACAGATTGTTTGTGTTCCTGTGTTCCGTTAAGTGGAACTATTGTCCTTTGTTTTTTCTCTTTTCTATCTGATGCTAGAGAGAGAGGGAGACATGTTGCAGTGCTCCGTGTGTGTTTATATGTAAATAAAGTAGATTAGCCCAAATGCTGAGTTGCTGAGGTCTGTCACGCATGATGCGCAAACTCTGCGGGTCCCTAAGTGTGCCGGTGTCTGTTGGCATCAGTCGCTGTGATGTTCGGGCTGAAGAAAGCTTTTGAAGCTCCTGAACGATCGACCAGGAGGGAGAGAACATGCCAGTCGGGCATGTGTTTCTGCCAGGGTCCTACTCGAGTGTAGGACGGTCTCCAAACAATATACTGGAGAATGTGCATAATAGCCAGATGGTGTCCAAAAAGCAGTTGAAATATGCCCATTCCTCAAGGCCTGCTGGAAATTTTGCGTTCTGACCAGGAAAAATGCACAATTCCCTCTTCATGCAAATATTATGCGCACATTCTCCATGGGTGGGGTACCAGCCCCAGTGTGGTGTAGCAGTTAGTGTTGGACTAGGACCTGGGGAAATAATAATACTCTGGAACATTTTTCAGGTTTAAAATTAAGCTATTTCTCACCCGCCCCCCCATCTCTCATATGAAGCATTTAACTAGACAAATATTTAACTATATACACGAACGCAGCTTTCTTTCACTGAAGTTGTCTTTTGTAAGTGGCAGCAGGCTCTAAACCCCACACTCCCAACAGTGGACATGAATAAAGTCATACAGTGGTACCTCAGGTTACATACGCTTCAGGTTACAGACTCCGCTAACCCAGAAATAGTGTTTCAGGTTAAAAACTTTGCTTCAGGTTGAGAACAGAAATCGTGCTCCGGCAGCACGGCAGCAGCAGGAGGACCCATTAGCTAAAGTGGTGCTTCAGGTTAAGAACAGTTTCAGGTTAAGTACGGACCTCCAGAACGAATTAAGTACTTAACCCGAGGTACCACTGTACTAGAAATGAATCCTAGGGCAGAATCCAGTGGGTCTTCCTTCTGAGAAAACATGCCTGCAGAGGAGTTACAACTATAAATATGGGCACCCAGAATGTTATGGATCCTGATTTCATTCATTCATTCATTCTATTAGCATTATTATTTATTGAATTATATACTGCCCTATATCCACTGCACAATCTTCCCACCCAAAGGTCTTATTTCTTTAACGCCACAGCAGCAGCAATTTTTAAAAGCTTTCAGCAGGTGGCAGTGTTGCTTTTATTAATTCTGTTGCGTTTCCCTTGCCTTGGGCTCTGCCCAACACTTCCATAGTTCTCTCTTCCCCTGAATTCTGCACTCTCTCTTTTCCTTTCCTTATCCCACTGGAGCTTTCATCATCAACCTCCTTTTCCAGCAATGCTGCCCAAACCCCAGCTACCTCCTGGGAAAAGGGGAAGGGGAAATAAGGAAAAAGAAGGGGAAAGGGGAAAAGGTTTGTTTTCAGAACACATCAATGGTTCTTCTCTGGATCCGTGGAATCCACAGAGCACAAATAATGAAGCACATTTTTCACAGGAAGAAGCACTGTTGCAAAACAGAATACGGCTGCCTACATGCTATATCTTTAAAGCACAATCGAAGCACATTCTTTTCCTCAAAGTATTCTGGATACTATAGTTTGTTAACTGTCGCTGGGCATTGTAACTCTGAGGGGTAAACTACAGTACCCAGAATTCTTTGAGGGAAAGAATGTGCTTCGAAAGTGCTTTGTGCCTTAATGCAGCCCAATTATACTAGATTTATTTATTTTTCCTGATCATGGAGGTGAAGGCCATTTTGATAAGGGCTAACAAGCACTGGTCGCATCACCTCCTGGCAAATAGAAGGGGAAGAAATGGAGGCAGTGAGAGATTTTACTTTCTTGGGCTCCATGATCGCTGCAGATGGTGACAGCAGCCACGAAATAAAAAGACACCTGCTCCTTGGGAGAAAGGTGATGGCAAACCTAGACAGCATCTTAAAAAGCAGAGACATCACCTTGCCAACAAAGGTCCGTATAGTTAAAGCCATAGTTTTCCCAGTAGTGATGTATGAAGTGAGAGCTGGACCATAAAGAAGGCTGATCGCCGAAGAATTGATGCTTTTGAATTATGGTGCTGGAGGAGACTCTTGAGAGTCCCATGGACTGCAAAAAGATCAAACCTCTCCATTCTTAAGGAAATCAGCCCTGAGTGCTCACTGGAAGGACAGATCCTGAAGCTGAGGCTCCAATACTTTGGCCACCTCATGAGAAGAGAAGACTCCCTGGAAAAGACCCTGATGTTGGGAAAGATGGAGGGCACAAGGAGAAGGGGACGACAGAGGACGAGATGGTTGGACAGTGTTCTCGAAGCTACTAACATAAGTTTGACCAAACTGCAGGAGACAATGAAAGACATGAGTGCCTGGCGTGCTCTGGTCCATGGGGTCACGAAGAGTCGGACACGATTAAAAAACTAAACAACAACAACAAAGGTGCTACCGGGCATTTTTAATTTTTTTATATATATTTTGTTTAAGTCATTGCTTTCCTAGTAGCACCTTAGAGACCAACTAAGTTTTTTCCGGGTATAAGCTTTCGTGTGCATGCACACTTCTTCAGATACCTGCATGCACACGATAGCTTATACCAAGAACAAATTTAGTTGGTCTCTAAGGTGCTACGGGACAATTTTTTTATTTTTATATATATATTGACTGCGTCTGACCAACATGGCTACCTACCTGAATCTAATCCCCTGAAACGTTTGTACAGCCAAGACTTGTTTGAGCAGATATAATAGTGGGGCAAAAGTGGGTACATCATGCACAAAGATGGTTCTATGATTTTATGCCCTAATACTATCTCGAGCCAATGAGGCCGAAGTGAAGGGGATGCAAACATGTTCTTCTGCATACAAATGGATCTGCAAAAAAGACATTTCAGTCTACAGGCCTGACGTGTTGGGTTTTCCATGCATAAGAAGTGAACACTGTGACTGCGTTACATGAGTGACTATTCAGTTGTGAATTGGCTATTTATAAACACTTCTTCGCAGTACTCTCTGCTGAGTCACTTTCCACACCATAAAGGCAGTCAAATGCTAATTAAAGAACGAAAAGCAACCGGGCCAGAATTCTCATCCCTGTAGTTTTATCCGCTAAACACGCTACCGTTTGAAAGGATGTTTTAGAAATAAATATGTTGTTAAAAATAAATACCTGCCTAAGGTGACTTGTCTTATGCCTTCTCTGTTGACTTTCCACCACCTGGTGAAAATTTCTCTTTTACAGTAAGCATCTTACCTACTAAGGTGGATGTGGTGCTACTCTTACAGGCTTCTGTTGGAAGAGGGGTGTGATACTCTGCTGCTGGCCCTTCCCCTGGAAATCACATGCAAATCCAAAAGGCATCAATTCATGTGAAGATCCCCTTTCTGAGATCTTGGCTCCAGACGTGAAGGTCAGGCATGGGGCCAGCAGGGTGCAGGACATGGGACACAATCTTGTCACCCCAACCCTACTGTTCTACATTTAATGTATACACATTTAATGTATAACGCATTGTGACTGGGGGCAGCCTCCAAGACCACATAACACCGGTCGTGACAATGGCTCCCAGTACGTTTCCAAGCACAATTCAAAGTGTTGGTGTTGACCTTTAAAGCCCTAAACGGCCTTGGTCCAGTATACCTGAAGGAGCGTCTCCACCCCCATCGTTCTGCCCGGACGTGAGGTCCAGCACCAAGGGCCTTCTGGCAGTTCTCTCATTGTGAGAAGCAAAGCTCCAGGGAACCAGGCAGAGGGCCTTCTCGGTAGTGGTGCCCACCCTATGAAATGCCCTCCCCTCAGATGTCAAAGAGATAAACAACCACCTGACATTTAGAAGACATCTGAAGGCAGTTCAGGGAAGTTTTTAATGTGTGACATTTTAATGTATTTTTAATCTTTGTTGGAAGCCGCCCAGAGTGGCTGGGGAGACCTAGCCAGATGGGCGGAGTACAAATAATAAATTATTATTAAACTATTATTGTTATGCATTACACACAGGGCTGCCTCTGAAGATGGTTTGGAAACTTCAGCTAGTGCAGAATTCAGTCCAGGTTGCTCACTGGAGCAAGAGGGTTTGAGCATATTACACCGATCCTGGTCCGACTGCACTGGCTACCAATTAGTTTCCGGGCCCAATTCACAGTGCTGGTTTTGACCTATAAAGCCTTAAATGGCTCAGGACCGCAATACTTCAAGGACCGCCTCTTTCCATATGAACTACCCAGACCCTGAGATCATCTTCTGAGGCCCTTCTTCGTGTGCCTCCTCAGCAAGAGGTCCAGAAGGTGGCCACACGAGAACGGGGCCTTCTCTGCGGTGGCTCCCCATCTGTGGAATGCTCTCCCCAGGGAAGTTCGCCTGGTGCCTTCATTATACACCTTTAGGCGCCAGGCAAAAACATTCCTTTTAAACCAGCCCTTTGGTTGATTTGATAGACATCCTATGCCCATTTAGAATGTAGTGGGGTTTGGGGGGGGGGGGGTTATTGGGTTGTTGTTTTTATTTTGATTATGTATTTTGTGGTTTTATGTTTTGATTTTATTCTGTGAACCGCCCTGAGACCTCCGGGTATAGGGCGGTATATAAATTCAATAAGTAACAATAAAATAATATACCGTGGAGTTCTTTGAACACTCTATCTGTAGTGCTACACAAAAGCTAAGTGTTTAAAAATGTTTTAGAAATTACATGCTCAAAAAAATAAAAGCAAACGTTAACATCATAATTTAAGACATCATTTCAGAATCCTGAATCAGCAGTTTAACCTAGCTTCTTCTTGCCACACCGGTCCAGTGTTTTCACATCCTATTTCTGAATGGAAACATTTGGTTCCATCCACAGAATTTGGTCAGAATTTGGCATTAACCTTTTGCCCAGCAGCCTGGTCTATCTCTGTCAAGACAGAAACACAACCGGCTTTCTCTCCAAAGGTCGCCTCACGCTCAGAGGCCTTTGGCCATCGCAGTTCATCATTTAAAAGAGGAGATGGGCACTTTCTGCAACATCTTCTTGTGTTTTTGTTAAATGTTAATTCACTTTGTGATATATATGGTATCTGGAAGTGGAATATGATTAGCAAGATGAGAAGCCTTGACACCGCGTAGCCTGTACCATTTGTTGCTGTGGTTACAAGTATCAAAGGCCACAATAAAACACAGTAAAGACCGGTTATGAAAAAAACATGGATTATTTCTTTCATTTCCCCATCTCCTTACACAAAAGCCCTCCAATTGGGTTTGAAAATGAGTTTTGCCAGAGCTGGCTTCAAAGGAAAAGTGCATTTCATCACTAAGCATAATTCTGATACAAACGAGTCAACATTTGTTTTAGACAACCGAAGGGAGGGAGAAATGGAAACTTGATGTCGTCAAGAACAGGCTGGAGGCACTGGCGACCGTACCTAAATCTATTCCCTGACAGCCCAATCAGTCTTTGAAAGTGGAGCTGAAAGCTGGGAACATGCAGCAGGCAGGGGCTAAATAAGACTTGTCCAATCCAGAGGCGCCATATTTCTTGCCCATCACAGGGGCTGATGTTGCACTTAAACTGCTCCGGTAAAGCAGTTGCCAGAACTGACAATCTGTGCCTCCCACTTCCTCCTGAACCTCCTCCCCATCCAGCTGTTTTCCCTGCAGTCTTACACTCCATCAGGGAGGGAGTCACTGTGTTCTCTGTGTAGGAGGGGAGTTGAATACAGTAGGACCGGCAGGTTCCTGTGAGTCTGTTGCAGCCTCAGTTCCCGCCTCCTCCTCAGCTGCCTGTCCTATGTCTGCAGTGTTTTCTGCCTCTTCTTCCTCTCTCTCACTCAAGCCTGTTAGTTGCGCAGCAGCCACCCCCCAACCTTTCTTCCGTGTCCCACCACTACTCCCCTCGCTCAGAGCCTTCCTCTTCTGAGGCTTCCCTAAGGGGTTCTCAGGCTGCAACTTTCCATCACTCTTCCTCACCCAGCCAGTCCCTGACTTCAGGGTCGCTCATTTAGATTGGTCCTATCTTCATGGCCAGGTACAACTTCCAGAGCCCAGGGGGAGTTTATTCAAATAGCATGACCCGACTGCAGAGTTGATGTATCAGCAGAACTGAACCAGAGGCATAAATGCCACATTCAGATAAGATTGACAGAACTGTGTTCCTCCACCATTGTGCACAAGTCCAATGTGGTGGACTTGTAAGGTAATAAAAGCTTTCTGGGAGATGATATATAATGAAATGGGGGGGGAGGAATGCTTCAAGTTATTGGGCACTGAAAGATGTCGCAGAGTGCGTGCAGAGTGGACCAGACAGATGGAAACACTGAAGAGACGCAAAGATATCTTTGCAAGGTTTAATACCAGCTTCCCAAACATACATCTTACATAGTGTCTATAATCGTCACCCATCCATCCACAAGGGCAGAATAAGCACATACTGCACATTATATATCATTCACAATTGCTGACACAGTGACTTATCAGCACCTGTTACACTGCTACACAGCTGTAAAAACTAAGTCAGGATATGCACCCTGGCTTTAAAAGTGGTACACATCCTGTGAAACAGTAATGAACCATAACATTTAAACAAACTATTCAACACAAATAGCCTTTGTTAAGAAACCAGAAACTTTTCTATTAGGAATTACAGGGACTGACATCCCAAAAGAACAGAAAAGACTTTTTATGTATGGCACAACAGCCGCCCAGAGATGGAAAGAAGACAAAGTCGCTACCAGAGAGGAGTGGCAAACCAAGCTGACGGGCTATGCTGAGATGGCAAAACTGACTGGAAACTCAGAAACCAAGAGGACAAAAACTTTATAAAAGAATGGGGTGGGGGAAATTTATAAGTTACTTAAAGGGGTAAAGGGGACCCCTGGTCATTAGGTCCAGTCGTGGCCGACTCTGGGGTTGCGGCGCTCATCTGGCTTTATTGGCTGAGGGAGCCGGCATACAGCTTCTGGGTCATGTGGCCAGCATGACTAAGCCACTTCTGGCGAACCAGAGCAGCGCACGGAAATGCCGTTTACCTTCCTGCCGGAGTGGTTCCTATTTATCTACTTGCACTTTGACGTGCTTTCGAACTGCTAGGTTGGCAGGAGCAGGGACCAAGCAACGGGAGCTCACCCCGTCGCGGGGATTCGAACCGCCGACCTTCTGATTGGCAAGTCCTAGGCTCTGTAGTTTAACCCACAGCACCACCCGTGTCCCCATAAGTTACTTAGGAGACCACTGTAAACAGATGGAAACATTAGCAGGATTCTGACTCACTTGTAGAATAACACTGACCATGGATAATATGGTTTGATATAAAAACTGGAGTATCGAAGAATATGTAGTAATAATAAATGATAATAATAAATGAGTCCCTATGGAGGGGATGGAGGAAAGTCTGGAGATTCGGAGGAATCTCTCTATATGGATCCTTTTTTCAATTTGTTGTTTATAATTTGCATTTGTAAAACCAAAGAAAAGTGATTTCAAAGAAAAGAAAAGAAATTTGCGGGAAATTGATTAAAATCCTGTGTTTTGAAAAGTAATGATGCTTGTCAGCTGTTGTTGATCACATTTCTCCATGCCCCTCCCCACCCCCTGCACATTTCATTTTTAACCTTTTTAACATCGACCTGATGGACATGCCTTTCCCTAACTTGTAAGTGTGCTTTTGACAAGTTAATTCCTCGCTC